TCAGCACGTTTAACAGAGCATATGACTTCACACATGGCATTCTTAGACCCCGGTTCCAGAGGTAGAATTGTTTGGCGGAAACGGACGTGCAACTCAACAAAGAGGTTATTAGAGGAAACCAAGAATGGAAGCGAAAACTTTTAGATCGGGCTTTTAGATTGGCAAACAAAACCTCTGGAAAATGGCAAATGTCTATCGGAGCTCCTATTGGAACGAAGACTCAGGTTCCGAATTTCAGGCACGAGTTTACCCGCCTCCTTAAGCGTACGAAATCATGTACAGGACAGAAAGCTCTGCCGTGACCTCGGACATTGCCACGGGAAGACGTGGTGCGCATACAAACTGACAACGAGTGAAGCATCCCAGCACAGGTCCAGGAAATCTTGGCAACACGGTCTTACATTGAACTTTGTGGGAGCCTCTGGCTCCCTTTCCCTGATCCGGCCTTCTGGCCGCGGGCACGACGTCGGAAGCCACTTGGCTTCCGACCGGAGCGTACCTTATCGTGGCAAGGAGAGGCAGCCATCTTGGTTGTCTACTCTCGCCACTCCTCCGTCCGCGTCCCTCCCGCTGGGGGGGACGTAGGGAACTTCCCTTTGGCGGGCTCGCCCGCCCCTCCGGGGACGAGGCTGGAGCCGCCAGGGAGAGAAAGAGAGAGAGAGCGTGTCCTCTGGCCGCTCGGGGAAAGGACTGTTCTGCTGGACTTGAAACTGTTCGGACGTGCGGCCACGCACTCTGCTGCCCCACCTCCGTCCAGGCTCTCGGGAAAGTGCGGCAAGTTACCCAAGCAGCACATAAACGTGAAGAAAACGTCGAAAGAACGTCGAAGACGTCTGTAACGTGACGTCGTAAAACGTCGAAGGTCCGGACGTTACCTTCCTTCGACGTCGATAAAACCTTTAAATGTCCGCGAGAAAGGGTGCACAGAAGGTCGAGGGGACGTTCCAAATGACGTTTGTTGCACGTCACAGGCACGTCTCAGTGGGCCGTTGCGTCCTCCCTCGACGTTTATGATACGTGTGTTCACGACATCCGGACTACCAACGACGTTCACAGAACGTCGAGAAACCTTTCCAAATTACGTTCCCTAGCCGTCGTGGGAAAACGTTGTGTCCCCCCCCCCCCCCCCCCCCATAAAAAAAAAGTAATTTTTTAGTATTATTGCGAACGCAAGTTGCTATTATGCAAGTACGAAGGAAGTAACTAAAACAAAGGTTTGGTACGAACTGTTTATTTGAGCATTTTCAGACACGAGATGCAATACGGAGCGCCTCCAAAAGACGTCCCCGGATGTGCCAGCCTCAAAGATATAAAAGAAAAAATTCACGTAAATAAATAAACAAGAGACGATGTCACGCAGCACGGAATGTTCCACCGCTTACCTCGTTCTGCTTCTGATTAATGTGCTGACGCGCGTGCTTTAGCCGCCCCATCGCACATAGCTGGTACTCTTGCTGCGTGCACGGGAATGGTTTCAGAAGGGGGATTCCGTCCGCTGGGCGTTCTTGATTGGGATCGTCGGAGGCGTCTGAAGGGTCTTGATCGGAGACTGGACTTGACGCGCCGTTATGTGCACTGACACTTGTTTTCTTGGGGGCGTCATTCACATCCTCACAGGCACCTTGATCCGAGCAGTAGTACGATTCAACGTGTGAAAAAGGTCCTCGAGTCGTGACTGAATACGACGGCGTTTTTGGCGATCACCGACTTCTTCATAGGGGCGACTTGAACGACTCATCTAACCGCAGCACTTACACTGTATGCAGACTCGAAAAAAAAATCACGCAACACAGCAGCCTGCCTCGTAGACCCATAGACGTGACGGCCGGTGCTAGTGACTGGCTTTCGGAAAAAGCTGGACCGATCCCAGAGCTGTTCTCTCTGGGCAAATTCGAAGAACAAAACATTCAGTGAAATATTTTGGGAACGACCCGGAACTTACGCTTGTCAATTGTTCGTCCGTCGCTATCTTCCCCCACTTTTCTCTCGCCCTCTTCTTGCCGAGTATCCCGACGCATCGCATGGGGCTCTATGGGGCTGCCATCTCCTCTGCCTACCTTTCCCCCTCTCTCTCGCGCCGTGCCAACTGTTTTTTTTGTTTTGTTTTTTTTTTTCTTTTGTTTTTTTTCGGCACGTAGGTGCGGACTGGACTTGAACGCTTTTTGGACCGTCATCTGGGCCATTCAGGTTTCCACAAACCGTTGACAGTATCCACCAGATTTCGTCATTGCCGGGCATTTTATTTATAGATCTGTACTGACAGTCACGTGACAAGAGTTTGCGCCCCGATCTACCGAAAACGCTAAGGCGCTGAAAGTTGGTGTTGTGGATGAACTGTGATGTTGATGCGAATTTTTTGGTTGTGCGCAGGTGAGCATGGGTTAGAAAATACGAAGAGAAAATGACGAACCTTAAAACAATCTCGGGTGGTCGCGAAGCAGTATGGATGCTCCTAGGAAAGGATGCAGGCCTGAAATCACCTGGAGAGGGGATAGTGTAGCGGCGCCCCTCAGACGCGTGCCAGGGCCCAGGACCCATGGAAGACGACAACGCGCGTGCAAAAAGCAAATTGGGTTATTGGGATATTTATACAGCGTGTACTTGGTCAGCCATTGAAAGCTGCGACGAGTCACTCGCTGTAGATGAGCAATTTAGCCAGTGCAGTACAACCGCTAGCCTGGGGTCTTTAACGTGTACCACGCAGTAGTGATACAAAATGCAAGAAATGCACAATTCGATCCGTTCTATTGTCACAAATTAAACCCGTAACAATATTTTAAACAAACCAAAATTATAACAAGTACATCTAAAGTAAATGATATTCCCGACATGCTTTCAGATTATTTTTTTTTCTTCCGTGTACATTGAGTTTTGTAAAAGCCCTTCCTAGCGTCATCGATGTGCAATCAATAGCATTTTGAAATACGCAAATTAATGTATAAATATTTAAATTTTTCAACCTTTCAAAAATCAAGTTTTTTTGTGGCTCTTGAGCACTGTCACCGACTTCTTCAGTGATTCTGCGGCTGGAGATGGAGCTGCAAAATCTAAAAACGTCGAACAAAACGTGAGTGGTCGACGTTGCCAGCACGTCTTGTATGACGTTTACGACATTTAGGTGTGAACGCGACGTCACTGAAACGTCACTGACGGGGTAATAGTGTAATGTCATCCTGGACTTTATTTTAACTTCGAAGAAACGTGAGTGTTCGACGTTGCTAAAACGTCTTGTCTTGACGTCGTGGCGACGATGACGACGTTAAAGTTGAAACGTGACGTCGCCAGCACGTCACGGACAAGACGACAAAGGAACGTCATTTATGAACTTCATTTCAACGTCAAAGAAACGTGAGCGTTGGACGTTGTGAGAACGTCGTGCATCGACGTCGTGGGAACGTTGACGACGTTTGAGTTGAAATACAACGTCGCCACAACGTCACTGATTGGACTCTAATGAAACGTTATATAAGGACGTCACCTCAACATCGAAAAAACGTGATCGAAGTCATGCGGGACGTCACGGACGTCCGGGACATTTTCTCGACGTTTCCACGACGTTTTGTGCTGCCTGGGTAAGGACACCCTCCCCCTTGCCGTTACTAGTCTTTATATCTTTGTATTTATCCGGACAAATAAACCCCGGGTGTCCCTCTATTCTGTGTGTCCGTGTACTCCCTTCGTGAGTCCCGGCTAGCGGGTGCAGCCAGCAGTCGAACCCGTCGTAGCGGTGACTCTGATCCGCTGCGGGGTGGTGGTTTCGCGGTCGGCCTCCTATCCGGACGCCTCGCACCCCTTTGAGACCTCCACAACTTACAGGACAAAGCCAGAGTTCCGTAGTAACAGGCAGGATTTTAAGAAAACCCCCAAAGAATTTCAGCAATTTCATAAGCTTGAGTACACAACTGCCACTCTAAGATCCTCAAACATTGGTTCAGCATACTTATGGACAGACCTGACCCGAATAAGAAGTCTTAGTATTTTCTTTGTAAGCATAAAGTTCTGTGGGAGAGGCTTTAATGGTAACACTGAAAACGTGACGTGAGATATTGTAATACGGGGCAGTACAGCATTTTCACGACGGGTTAAAAAAGCTTCATGGTTTGAAATTAATGTTGCAAAGACTCACCCCGGGCGACACGTAAAACAAGAAGGCAACTAAATATTATGTTAGGCTTACGTTTTGGCATGACCTTTATTGTGCATTTTTTTTCAATATGTATTTTCAATTTAGAAATAAAAAATATCACTATCCGAATAGAAAAAAAAAAAGAAAAACGGGGCATTTCGATAAAGTTTGTTTTTGCACTCTCAAGAAAAAATGGTGTCAAAAGGTGTATTCTTACACCCTTTGTCACATATGATACACCCCAGAATTTCAATTCGACGTACAGTGCCCTACAGTCGAACAGAGGGACCGAAATTTTACGAGGGGCTTGATAGCCGTGTGGTACAACATTGTAAATAGCTAAAGTACGTATCAAAGACCACATAAAGAAAACACCGAGTTTTTTTACAGTAGGGCCAAGAAAACCCGGATTATATTTTTTGTGTTCAGTCAAACGTACATTAGCTATTTTAATAAGTTGTACCACACGGCTATCAAGCCCCTCGTAAACGTTCGGGCCGTCTGTTCGACTGTACGGCGCTGTATGTCGAATTGAAGTTTGGGGGTGTATTATATGGGACAAAGGGTGTAAGAATACACCTTTTGACACCCTTTTTTCTTGAGAGTGTGGGAAGCTAAAATAAACCGCCGCAGCTCGCCAAATTCGTCTGCTTCTTGAGCAGAAGGTTGTGGTGACGTCAGAACGCCGAGCTCTGATTGGTTCCAATCAGAAGGATAGTGGGTAGACCTCAAGGCAGCTAGCATTGAAGTCTACACACTATCTCCCCGTTAGGGCCAATCAGAGCTCGGCGATCCGACGTCAGTGGAATCCATGCCCAAGAAGCAGAGGAACTTGCGGTCCGGATTGGTTTCCCACACCCTCATGCCCTTTCAGTTCTTCACAGGAAACAGCCTGTGCGGCTTGGATTTGTGGAACGAAAAAACGCCCGTGAAGGACAAGTCTGGCGTCTACGCAACGCACCTGTTTACCCACAAAGCTGTGAATCTTATAGAGGAGCACGACGAGTCTACAGTAAGACGCCGATTTGTTTTGTTTCTCGGATCTTCTTTTGCGTAGATTCCATAAGTCAGTTAAAGCTTAAGAATGCCGAAGAAAAAAATCCCGAAACAAGAAGTGTTATCTCACTAGGCCATGCCTTGTGTTTCTTAAGCTGCCGCCGAACAAACACCAAGGCGTGGACCTGATGTCACGCAACTACGGTGGCACTGCTGTTGGCACGGCGCTCGCACAGACGCTTTGCCTCAACCTAATTTGGTCTCTGCGCACTCGCAGTGACCACACGCGTTGTGGGCAAACGCTGACTCGCTTGTAAAAAGGCATTCCCACGGGGGATGTTTTTAAAGAAGAAATGCGCGTGACGTCAGTGATCGGTGGAACGAGCATTCACACGAACGGCGGGGAGCCAAGCGGGATGTCAGTATTATCAGACGCATTGAGCGGTCGCATTTCCGACATCAGGTCTCGGCGCGCGCTGATGAGGGCAGAAAAATGGAGGCGCACGTCAAACGACGATGCGCAATTATGGCAGCAGCGCTCTTAAATGCACAATACGACGAACCACTTCCTGCTATTAAAAAAAATAAAATAAACAAAGATGCTTCTTCAATGGGTGAATGCTACACGAAGAATGTGGAATCCAAAAGCAGTTTTATGAGGAGCGGCTTGAGGACGACATCGATAAATTTCGAAGACTCCTTCGGGTGCCTCGGACGACACGCTCAAATGCGCAAGCCAATAGCCAGCCGGCAACAGCCAGGCGGCGCCGGTTGAGTGAGAGCCCACGGTTGTACCCTTTCTTGTTGTAACTTGGCAAAAGATGAACGAACAGCCCTACACTGCGTGCGGAAAGCTTCGAAATGCGCGACGTATACGAGTGCAACGGACACATATTGGAGCATGACGCAGCGAAAAGCATGAAACTTCTTCGGAGTAGAGGCGCAATCCGGTGATACGCACGTTCCCATTAACATGCCGTGCAGGCATGTTACGCGATTACGGCTTCCTGGGATACCCAGTATTTCTTGCTTCAGACACTAGGCTAAGCGGCGCCACCAGAGTAAAAGCTCGCGTTTGAACAATGCAGCCGCCACTCCCAGGGATACCCAATATTTCTTGCTTCAGTTGCTAGATGGCGCCAAAGCAAACAGCATTGCAAGTCGCCTATACACATAGAGATCGTACATACTAACTCTAGAGGAAAAGGTCCGCCATTTTCCCATGCATTCTGCTGCCGCAAGCGGCGGAGCATGCAGGCAGACCCTCGGGGTCCCACACATGGTTACCAACTGCCCTCGATTTCACGAATATAATTATATCATCAGAGCAGTTTTCATGAACTTCAACAATCCACGAACTTACCGGTGGAAAGATATTCGCGTTCCATTTGAAGCTTTCTTTTTGCATAGCGCGCAGATGTACGGCCTCGCGTCAACGCTAAACTAAACCAGATAACCGGCTTCGCGGGCGGCCGTGCCCCAGGAATACGAAACCGCGCAACCACCAGATTTCCGAGATTTTGGTTTATAGTGCTGAGAGTTTTCAGTCTTCGCGATTACCATTTCGACTGTCGTCCTTCAGCTGGTGACATTGGTTTCTTTCGCTCGTGTTCTGTCACTCCCTTTCGCGATCTTTCACTCGGGACCCATGGGATGTCGGCGCACGGGATTTGCCACTCCTCCTCACCCACCTTTGCCCCCCTGCCTATAGACCTTTGCAGAAATCGCCTCCTGCACGCTGCCATTTTTGTCTGCTGGGCTGTGGAACGCCTTCCAAGCATGTGCTGTTGATCTGCTGTGCGGTATATCGGACGCTGCGCATGCGTCCACAGCTCAGTGACTCAGCATTTTTTGCCCGCTCGCTTCGTTCGAGACTGCCGCTGGAAAGGTCTATACAAGTCAGGCGATCAGGATGCCACCGCCGGTATCCCACAGAGCAGAGTCCGCAAAGTTGCCAGACGCGCGAACAAAACACCGCTAATTGCAAAGAGATTTCACTACTAGGCGGGGAGTGTTTGTGCCACGCGTAGCGAAAGCTCCCCGGTCCCCTGGGATGTGTACGTCAGCGTGTCTTCGCGCAAAGGTGCGACGTTGCTGCCACGTGTTGCGCATCCCGGGCAGCAGAGGGAGGGATTTCTCCCTCACGGGAACACCCCTCGAAGCAGCAAAGTAAAACTGGTATGTGACGCCGCAGTCACACCTCTCATACGTCGCACCAAAGACACGTTGTACGCTGCAGACAGATGAGAGAACTATGGGCGGACATGGCTAAAGTCTGTACGAAAGCCAAGCATGATTTCTTCCTATGCTTCGATCACGTCTGCGGACAGAACTTGTCTGACCAATATGGCAGGCCCTTCGTACGAGGAAGAAACACGCCCCACACGCTGTCTGCAGACTGTCTTCTGTATGATGGCTCAGCAGAGTGAGCGCGGCTAACGCGTCTGTTGTGTATGCTTAGGATCTGCAGTAGATACGGGAGTTCGTCATCACCACCTGCTCACGCAAAAGACCGTGACTAAAGTGCCATGTTTCTTTGAGGGAAAACTGTGACAGACTAAAAGCACAACACGCGGACACTTTTTTAGAAGTATAGTGAATGATTTTATAACAGTACGTCTATCCCACGACTTTGTCCCTCCGTCAGTCAATCCGTCCGTCCATGCACTTCCTCGCTAAATCTAGCGGCAAATTGACGTTACGTGACGTCATGATATCGCGTGACGCCACGATCACGCCGTGACGTCAGGACACGCGACATGAATGTCGCCGTTGAATTTAGAGGGGCAATCGACTTTACGTGACCTCGGGACGTGTCACCACGGTGTGTAAATTATGGTCACGCTTCCACAGCGCGTGAGGTCAGGTCACGAGACGGATATCACGTGACACCGTAGCGTCACGTAAATTTCTCCGGAGATTGTGGCGGGGAAATTAATAAACAGTATGATCCTCATTTTCCAAAACGACTGCTTAATCATAATGCTTTCTAAACAAATTTAAGTGATCGCTTCCCAAGTACAGCATTTTGTTCATTATAGGTTTTTGGGGATAAATGTCAGTAGTAATTTCTTAGAGTGTCGCACATCACGATTGACGCCTGTGTTTTGTTGTCTCTGTGCAGCCGCTGTTTCTGTACCTCAGCAACCTGGCCGTCCACGCAGGCACACAGTACGGACCAATCCAAGCCCCAAAAGAAAACTTGCAAAAGTTTGATTACATTGGGGTAAAAAACAGAAGCCTTTACGCCGGTAAGATTCGTGCATTCAGTGTAGGTTTCATTCTGTTCTTAAAGAGCCGGGCCAGAACATCTCCAGGTTTAGATAAGGAAACGGTTTCGTTTTGTCTAGCTGTAACGTAGTTTGCTTGTTTTATTATTGTTGTTGGGTATTTATTTTTTACATTTCAGTGCCAAAGTCATTTTTCCAAACGACGCATTCGAGCACAGCAAAGCACTCTAGATTCTTGAAGCCGCTTCTAGAATGCTCTATTCTCAGATGAGGCACAGCGATCACTCAGTGCTACGACACAACGCTTACTTTGCGCTATGCCGGCACTAAACTGTGTGTGTGATTTCGCCTTTGAGCCCCTGCCGTCTCAAGAGCCAGCTATTTTTCAGCGGGCGACAACGTTGAAGAACAATTTGCAGTGGAGTTTTAAAATAGCGTTCACCCAAAAGTTTTGCATAGCCAAAGATATACAATAGTCTCCACTGCGAATGCGGAAAACCCAAACCGTGTTTTTGTGTCTGGATCCGCAAGGTTTGAATATTACGTGAGTATACGAAAACTCGCCCCTAAATCTTCGGGTTGCTCTCGCTATAGGCGCGAGGAGTCCACGCTGTAGAACGCTGCATCACGAAAGCATGTGAAAAGTAATACTCAATGCCACAGAGCAGTCCTTCTTTTGAGATTTAGCCTGTTAGATGATTTTAGAACCCCACGTTTGGGTTCCGCGAGCAGCTTGGGGGATCGCACGGCGAGAGCGCAGTGCGACGCACCCGGCTTGTTCGGGCTCCCTATTCTAGAACTTTCTATTTTCAGCATCGCCATTCCCCGAGCTCTCTCCTCAGGTCGCGGAGATAGGTTTTTACAATTGATTTGCGTGAAAGACACTGGATTTCTTTTTGTAGACCGGACACTCGTTATACGTCCTACTGTGGCAGGTGCTGTCGACGCGCTCGACCAGTCCGTGGGCATCGTCTTCCAAGCGCTGGAGAAGAAGGGCATGCTGCAAAACACCGTGTTGGTGTTCATCAGCGACAACGGGGCCATCCCGTGGGGCGAGTGGTCCAACGCTGGTTCCAACTGGCCCCTACGAGGTGCCAAGTTCACTCTGTGGGAAGGCGGAGTCCGCGTCCCGGCCTTCGTCTGGAGTCCTCTGCTCCGGAAGCCACTGCGCGTGTCGAACCAGCTGATGCACGTCAGCGACTGGGTGCCCACCCTCTACTCCCTGGCAGGTACGGGGGCAAAGACCCGCCTATTTCACGATTCGTAAGTACAGGCCTACAGCAACTAAACAAAGGGCAAGCATCGAGAAACTGAGTGAGACGACGAGACAAGAGCAAGTGGGGACGTGAGAACGCCGAGCTCTGGTTCGAAGGATTTGTGGGTAGACCTAAACCTAGCTGTTTTTGTCTCTGGAGTTTCGAACCGAACTTGTTAATCGGACGGTTCAGGCTCCAGGTTTACGGCTGTCGATTCAGTTATGGTTCAGCGCTGGAGACCACGAATAACGATTCGAACCGGTTTGAACCGAAAAGCGTGAATACATTTTCCGCATTATTCTTATGTAAATTAAGCAGGTTTTTATCGTTCGTACGTACAATCCACTTTTATTTTTATGTAAGAAAAGCGAAAAAAAATGCGTTTTTTTAAGACCTAGCAGCCTAAAATCTTGGTTAAAATTTTAAAAAAAATAGTGTTTATACAACTAAATTATCGGGTGTTTGTTTCAGGCACAGGTTTTATTTGAATCTAAAACCGTCAATACTTTACGTTAATCACCTTAAAAGAGCATGTGCGTGCTACAACTTCTACTCGTTGCAACATAATAAAAAAAAGTTTTTTTTTTTTGCACAATATTAATGTTTTGCGTGAAGTAGTTCTTACTTTCGTTCTCGAAGGAAAAAATTATGTTTTGGGCGTTTGAGACGGTCACGTTTTCATTAAATAACATAAAGATATAATCCAAGAACGCTGCATATGCCTTAATTCAACACGTCAAGATAAAAAAAAAAAAAAAAAATATTGACGTCCCTTGAGGAGCGCGTCATTTTTTACTGTGGTTCCTGAGGTAAATACGAATATAGTGTCACAGTAATAAAAGTTAGATCGGGGCTATACTCTTACCACACAGTATTTATTGGGGTACCTAAAATTGTCGAATGCGCCTTTCATCGGCACATATGTTGTAAAATATATTTCAGGGAATATGTTTCACGATATGTATGTCTACGCAAGATAGTATTAAACATTTTAAATGATGCGAAAGTTTTGGGACCAGTACTTTTATAAAAACAGCCAAAGGAAATCACGAGCCTGTTTTCTTAACGTACGTTGTTTACATTTGGCACCGTGAGGCACCACAGAAAGAAAGTGATCAAATTCACTCAGCCTAGTATACACGTTCCATAGTTCTCAGGTCGAAGCTGGCATGACACAGCGCGTAACCAAGGGAACACTTTCTCCTGCAAGGCTAAATTGGCCCAACGCGTCTTATGTAGAGCTTTCTCCTAGACAAAGTACCGGTCAATTCACTTTGCTAATAGCCCACGTTCCTGCTAAGTGATGATATTTTTTTGACAAAGCCAAGTAGCATTTGAAGCTGCCTCTTTCGAACAATTGCTGTACAGCTGTGACGGGCAAAGAGGGCTCGTCAGGCAGAAATGAATTTTTTTCCTGTACCCTGCCGGCAGTGGCCTGAAAAATTAATAAATAAATAAAGAAATTAATGTAAATCGGCATGTCAACCTGGGACACCCCGCCGCACAAAGAGGGTCGTCTGCGAGCAGACGACCCACTTTGTGGTCTGCTCGCTGCGCCTATTTGGGAGATGACGGCGCAAGTAAATAGCGTCGCTAATACAGACGCCTGCGAGCGCGCCTAACTTTGACTTCGGAAAGTTTTTTGCGCTCATTAATTTACAGGAAGAAAACTGTGCATTCAATAATCTTATGATAAAAATGACCGACTCGGCGCACATTCGGTGCAAACTTTAATTTTTTATGTGATAGCGTCGATTTGTCCGGCTCGTTTTACGGCGGAAGGTCCTTTTGAAAGACCCTTGATATATATATATATATATATATATATATATATATATTATTTTTGAGTGGAGGAGGGCTCTACGCATAACCTATATTTTATTTTCGAGGAATTTATTTCTCCAGAGAGATTGGCTCTCCATCTTAATTCGATCATTCTTATAACTTGAATAAACTGGGGTGCCTTTTTTCTCACTCAACGCGGCTTTCCCTTGAGCTCCTGTGTGCAAGCACGTGCATCATGCACGCTCACACTCTCCTGAGCTCCGGCGTTGATGCCACCCCTCAATAAATAGGTCAATGGTACCGTGCTCCAGGGGTAGTCCCTCACGGTCCCAGAGCATCATAGAAATGTAAGAGCTTTTGAGAGTGTACTAGCTGTCACCGTATCCTGATGTTGACAAGAAAAGAAGAAGAAAAAAAAACGAACTGACGTAGATGGTTACTAGAGATTACTTATCTTCATATACGACCATCCACATGCAGGAGGAAATATTGCGGACCTCGGCGTTATCGATGGGTTGAACATGTGGCAGGCACTGTCCCGAAACCTTCCGTCTCCCCGCCGCGAGATGCTGCTCAACTTCGACTCGGTCGACGGAACGGCGGCCCTCCGGAGCGGCGACTTCAAGCTGGTCGTCAACAGCTACGAGAACGGGACGTACGACCAGCGCCTGCCCACTCCAGGGAACCTGCCTCCGCGCGTCGACCTGGACAGGCTGATGCTCGAGTCGTTCGCAGGGAAGGCACTGAAGACGTTTTACACGAAAATGCCGGGGTGGTCACTTCCGACGGCATGGCGCGGAAAAGCGAAGGTCCACTGCAGACACCGCAAAGACAACTTCAGAACGGAGGACACGGCACACCTGTTCGACGTGGTCAAGGACCCCTGCGAGCTTCAGAACTTGGCTCGCTATCGGAAGCTGGTATGGTGCGGCGAGTTTATATTTCCGCTGGGTTGAATAAAGTCGCGTTGAATTCCGGCTGCTATAACGCTTAGCCGCGTTAGATTGCTGAGACAACGGACATAGGATATTCTGCAGACAGGCTGTCCCACTGACTATATACAAAACCTTTCTGCAGGCACGATCTCAACGTGCATGAAGTCAACATGATTCGGACATGCGTGAGGTGTGTCCGCAGATGATTCTGTCGTTTTGGTTACAGAGAAACTTAATGACTTTCTTGTGATGTACGAGAAGTTTGACTCCAGCCTTAGTATCGGGCGATCACAGAGTAACAAACTGGATTTAGCCAAAAAAAACTACAAGAACTACGAAAAAATGAACAATATTTAACTCTCTGTCAACTATTTAGTGCTAATGCAATGTTAAGGCTAGTGTAGCTTCTGCAGTGCTCCAGTGCTCTCGAAGCTCCTGCGAACGAGAGCGTGTTCGAAGGAGTTACAATACGAAGCCACGTGTTTATTGCGCCGTGCGGGGATACCAGCACTGCGGCGGAAGCAGCGCCAGTTTAGACAACAGCACACATATTTGACGCAGAGTACATAAACCAGTGTTACCAACTCACAGACATAAAAACGCAGTCGCGAATCATGAAACACCGATAAGAAACGCATTTAAGGCACAAAGGCAGAATGACGTAATTTAATTTAGGGCTGTAATTAGTCAAGAAAAGGTAGAAATGGCGCAGCAATTAAAAGGAAGCCCCCTATTGTGAGCCAGACCATTTCCGTGCTGACTCGTCTTGTATCCGACGTATTTGAGGCAACAGGTCAACTTCAATCTGGCGACTTTCCTCCGGTGAGATAAGGTCTGCCATCTGAGGCGTTGTAGGCGACCCTCATATGGCAGTGAAGGCTCGTTCTGGTGGGAGAAGATGGTCTGTTTCACACGCCGCTGCATGCACACCAGGCGGGCAGCTAAAATAAATTAGGCATAGACACCACATGCCCAACAATATTCGAGTTGCGAGAGCATGAATGGAGTGAATAGAACACGAAACGTTGCTGGACCACACCTCCTCGAGACCTGCGTCACAAATCCCAGGAAACGTCTGGTCTCGGCCACTCCATTTCCAATATGAACCAAAAAAGACTGGTCAGGTGCGAACTTCACACCGAGAAACGACATAGATGAAACTGTACCGAGAGGGACGCCGGGAGAGTATATGCGGGAGTTTCCGGGGTGCGACTGTGGCTGATCCGCTTGACAGCGCACTTGGATGCGTGCAGGACCGTGACAGTTCAGTTTAGACCAATTCTGGACTTAGGATAAATGGGCCCGGGGGTGCAGCGGCTGGCGTGACGTGGCGTTCGAGCAAGCAGAGTGATCTCATCCGCATACTGACCTGTTTGTATGTCGTCGCCACTGGGGGAGATCATTTATATACAAAGAGGCAAGGCTGGGCTGCCTACGGAGCCCCGTGGTACACCAGCTGTGACCGTGAAAGCGTGAACCATGGAAAAGAACTTGGTGTGTGCGACCAGTTAGGAGACGTCCTATCAACCGAACGAAAAGTCCGCAGACACCGGCTTGCGCCACTTTTCGCCTCAGTTTGTCGTAATTTAGCACCCCGAACGCGCTGCTGAAGTCTAGCTATATGCCATAAAATGCAGAAAGCTCGCCCTGGAGGCAGAATATTTACGAAATTTTTAGCTTGTCACCAAGTATAGATGAGTACCATTTTTACCTCAGGACGGGTGAGTGAAGTGCTAAGCAGACGTCGCACGAGGTCTTCTTCGTTCTATGAAACAATAATCGTGTTTGACGTTTTTCTTTCAAACATATGGCTATTGCTTTAATCTGTTTAACGCTTAAGTTATTCTGGGATTTAACTCAACGTGTCTAGTTTACTTCCCAAAAAGGTTTTGAAGTAAAGTAATGAAAAGTCACTACATTTTGATATTAAAAAAGGCTCTATTTTGGTACAGGTCCTCGGGCAACTCGTGAGGAAACTGCAGGCGTACATTGACCAAGCAGTGCCACCAATGGAAGAGACTTTCGATCCCGCCGGATATCCAAGGAACAACGACTGCATCTGGATGCCTTGGCAAGACCCGCAACACGTGCCGCGCCCGTCACAGTGCACTTGCCACGCTCCCAACAGTGCCAACAGCACTGGTTAGCTGGCTTAAAGTGAGACTAGACCCGGTGCTTCTTCGTCCCGATCTTTGGGGTAGCACTCCACGGGTCGTGAGCTAGACAGCATGCACCTAAAGCGTACAAATCAAAAGCTAAAATAAACTAATCGTACAGTATCTCTAGTCTCCTCGCCCTCAAGGCTCCGGCTCAGCCTTCTTTTTTTATGTTAATATATCGGTAAATTTTAGGAAGCTATTTGTTCTCTCTCCCTTTCGTACAGACGCCTCGATGCCTTGCATCGAAGCAGCCGGCCCCAGTGAAGTCTATTTCGCAGAATGATAAATGCGAGACGTGGCCTATGAGAGTTGACGCTCCTTTGATCGGCGATTCGTTGTTCAGCGTTTGTCTCTGCTCATTCCGTAATTTGATTGGCAGTATGCTCATAATAAGAACGTGAGGAGTCACCACGCTCTGTGTTTCTTAAGGGGGATTCAACCGCTCGTCACTCAATGGGCAAATTTGGCTACACAAACCTGGGTTTCAAAAATGCACGATAGTTAGAAGAGGAGGAAGGAACGCCAACCAAAAATAAAAAGGAGCCCAACGTTTCGAAACCTGCTTGGTTTCTTCTTCAGGGGCGACTGTGTGCGCGAGGAGCAAGTGGTCTTCTTTTACGGCGGTGGACGTGATGTTTTCGCGATCGTAATGTGGCTGAGCCCGCGGACGTAGGCGGATGGTAAAGCGCCAAGCGACCGATTGATGTTTTGCGGTGTGGTTTGGATGTGCCATGACTCGACGAAGAGCCTCTGCCGGGAATCGGTCTCAATGTCCAGGATGCGTGTGTTGTCGAAATCAATGCGGTGGTCATTCGAGTCACTGTGTTCCGCAACCGCGCTGCGCTCATGATCGAACTTTCGCACGTCGGTTTTGTGCTGGCGAAGTCTTTCTTTAAAGTTTTTGGTTTCGCCGATATATGTGGCAGGGCAATCCGCACAAGGAATCTGGTAAATAACGCCTTGCGCTCTTTCCTTGGGGGGACGATCTTTTGGCCAGGGCATCAGGTGTCCAAGCGTTGACACTGGTTTGTGGTACATCTGAATGCCTTCTTTTGCCAGCACACGCGCGAGCGCTGGTTGAGCGGGGATGTGCGATTTCATGTTTTTCGCCGATTGGTCTTAAGCGTGTTTCACATGCAGCGATTTTGGCCCTAAAGCGGCGCGATTTCTGCCGTCGCGGTGCTCGTGCTGCAGAATTGCTGGTGCTGGCCAGAGCGCCGCGACGGCAGAAATCGCGCCGCTCTAGGGCCAAAACCGCTGCATGTGAACTAGGCTTAAGGCGTCGATCAGACTCACATTGACGACGAGCGATTCGCTGAATAAAACTGCGTGTGTAGCCATTATTTAGCAGGTCGGAGATGATGGTTTCTTCCTTTTTTCTGTAGTCCTCCGACGAGCAAATACGCTCGGGACAGGAGTGCCTGGACGACCGACGCCTTGCGGCTCGCAGGGTGGTTTGAGTCAAATCGGAGGTAGCGCCCAGTGTGTGTCGGTTTTCTGTACACTGTGAATTCCAATTGACCTTTTTGTCTTTTGACCAGCACGTCAAAAAACGGCAAGGCGTCATTCTTTTCAGATTCAACGGTGAACTGGATTGGATGGCTGGCTCGATGGAGTTGAGGTGTGCCAAAAAGTTGTTCACTTCCCCAGGCAGCACAAAACGTCGTGGAGACGTCGAGAAAAAGTCCCGGACGTCCGTGACGTCCCGCATGACTTCGATCACGTTTGTTCGATGTTGAGGTGACGTCCTTATATAACGTTCCATTAGAGTCCAATCAGTGACGTTGTGACGACGTTGTATTTCAACTCAAACGTCGTCAACGTTCCCACGACGTCGATGCACGACGTTCTCACAACGTCCAACGCTCACGTTTCTTTGACGTTGAACCGAAGTTCATAAATGACGTCCCATTATTGTCCTGTCCGTGACGTGCTGGCGACGTCACGTTTCAACTTTAACGTCGTCATCGTCGCCACGACGTCAAGACAAGACGTTTTAGCAACGTCGAACACTCACGTGTCTTCAAAGTCAAAATAAAGTCCAGGGAGACGTTACATTATTGCCCCGTCAGTGACGTTTCAGCGACGTCGCGTTCACACCTAAATGTCGTAAACGTCATGCAAGACGTGCTGCAACGTCAACCACTCACGTTTTGTTCGACGTTTTTAGATTTTCCAGCTCAATCTCCAGCTGCAGAATCACTGTGGTCAAGGTGACAGTGCTCAAGAGCCGCAAACAAACTTAATTTTTGAGAGGTTGAGAAGTTTAATTATTTATACATTAATTTGCGTATTTCAAAATGCTATTAATTGCACATCGATTACGCTAAAGAGGGCATTTACAAAACTCAATGTACACGGAAGAAAAAAAATAATATGAAAGCATGTTGGGAATTCATTCCTTTTAGGATGTGCTTGTTATAATTTTGGTTTGTTTAAAATATTGTTACGGGTTTAATTTGCAAAGCCCATGGTGTCTAGAACGGATTGAATTGTACCATTCTTGCATTTTGCACGCGCGTTGTCGTCTTCCATGGGTCCTGGGCCCTGGCACGCGCCTCAGGGGCGCCGCTACACTATTCCCTCTCCAGGTGATTTCAGGCCTGCATCCTCTCCTAGGAGCATCCATACTGCTCCGCGACCACCCGAGATTGTTTTTAGGTTCGTCAATTTCTCTTCGTATTTTGTAACCCATGCTCACCTGCGCACAACCAAAAAATTCGCATCAACATCACAGTTCATTCATAACACCAACTTCCAGCGCCTTAGCGCTTTCGGTAGATCGGGGCGCAAAGTCTTGTCACGTGACTGTCACTACAGATCTGGCTTTCGTTGCCACTGGTGACGTACCCAAACGAAAATCGCATGCCAGCACA